TTAATAACATACCTACTTGTATTGAGGGCTTGAGAAACTGCAAAAGTCGATTTATAGAAGCTTATTAACTGTTTTTGTAGCCTTTTTTAAAACTAACTTTTGTTATTTTTGTTTAAATTTGTGGTCCAACTCTTTTTCATTTCAAAATTACCTGCTTAAGTATCCTTTGCCAATCATATTTTTATACTTTAACCAGCATACATTCATCGATTTTTTACGAAAATTCGATTTATTTGAAACTGTACTGCATACATTTGGGTCAACCCAAACTGGAGTAATGTAATTGTCGCTAGAAGCATAGACTGACGGCAGCGTTGATTCGGATCAACACAACTACGGTTGTGCATATGCTCTCGCCTTTGCATATTCGGTGCGTTTGTAAATTCACAACAATAAAATGCACACGGTTGCAAAGGCAGTAAGCATAAAATTTGCAAATGTAATTCCAACTGCAAACCCAAGACAGTTTCCACAACATCTTGAACAGCCCTATTAATTTGGAATTATTTCGGAAATTAATTGCAAATGATCCGAATTTAGTCAATATTAATGCGGATCAGGAGCATTTTTGTTGACAACACCGACCAAACCGTTCAGCTTTTGTCGTCCATCATAATTGAAAATTAAACAAAGCAAACAAGTAAACAACCAAAGCTTGAGTGGTCAAAAAAGTAAATTTTTTACTTTGTTTTTTTTTTTTGTATGTGAGAGGGGAGTAATTTAAATTCGAAAAAAGTTCGAATTCGAATTCTACGTTCGATTCTAAAGCAAAATGGTAATCAAATTCAAATTCTACGATTAATTCTAAGCAAAAATGGCGAATAAACTGTATACCAAAACTGACGTTTGACACTCCCAATTAAAAAAAAAAAAAAACAATAATAAAAAATCAGTGCATTATAATTTTTTCTGAACGAAATTAATTTTTCATTTGCAGAATTTTTTGTTTTTGGTATATTCTATTCGCCATTTTTGCCGAATCCACTATGTTTTTAGCCTTACTAGCTTGGAGGGGATCATCCCATTGTATATGGTGTGGAGTCCATTCCTCATTGATCCAGTGACAGAGAATAAAGCCGACCTTACGACCTTAAAAGAGCTTAAAATCTTTAAGCAAAGCTCAAATGGGCCGTTGCGAGGCTCATTGTTGTTTTTACCACGCTCTTAACTGACTAAAGGTTTGAGGCCGTTTCTCTCATTTTTGTTTGGAATATAAAGTTCTTCCACCAAACATACCTTTTCTTATAGTTCTAGTTTATAGAGACGATTTTGAAAACTGTCAAGGTAGGCTCTCAAGTTCCATGTATGCGGTACAGTTTTGGAACAAAAAGTTCACGTAGAGTGGAGTAAACCCCTTCTCTTCAACTTACTGTTTTTATTTTTTGTTTCGAGAATTTGCATGTATACTTTTTCAAATAATTTTGCCCTAAGTTAGCGACTATTTTGGCTTCCTAATTTAAATGGCTTCCTAATTTAAATTTATGTACGTATTTTCAATTTTTAACCGACTTCACAAAAAAGAGGAAAGGTTATCAATTCTTCGGAATATTTTTTTATATATTTATGTATGTTACCGCATAACTTTGGACCACGTTAACCGATTTCTATAATTCGTAAATTTTTATATGAGAATTGAAGTCGGTTTTGTTTTTTGCTTAAAATAACTTGTTTTTATTCTCTTTATATTTGTATTTATTGAACGTCCCACCCTTTTCTTGGCGCCCATGACAGTTAAAGCCGATGCTGTCTCACTGGCAGTGAACTAAATAATAAAAATATGAATGCACATAAAAGCAAATAGGGAAAAATGTGACAACAAAAAGATCTCAAAATTTTTATTGTATTAAATGATAATAATGAAAGCTAGTACTGAGTATGTATGTGTAAGGAATAATAAAAAAAATTGCAAATTACTTGTTAGCATAAAATAAATTTAGTTAA